GGCACTACACGCAGTAAATGTACATTCTTGCTTTCTGTAATAGAGAGCCCCTAAAGCAGCTGGGAGGCTGCAATTCGCAAAAACAGATATTGGCCCTCAGTCAGGACATTTTGTCACATTTTCAGCACAGAGTTGGTCTCAGTCATGTTTCCAAATTGCAGCATCAGCAGATCCCATCAGCAACACACTGCTTTTCGTTTAACCAGTTTACCATCAAACGCACAAAAAGGTCAATGTACACATGCATACAACATGTGAATGTGGATATTGAGATCACATTCCCAACGATAGTGTCGATTACTCATTCTTTATTTACTAATCAAAAATACAGTTTCAGTGCCTCTGGATTCTTAATTCGCAATAAGTGACTAGTGCTTAATGTATTGGACAGCTCAGCGTTATAACACGATAGTCTGGGTCCGTAAGATCAGACCCCATGTTAAACAAGGGGTAACAGCGCTCTGGGACATCTTTCCAATGTGAAGGGCGCTATATACGAGTTAGGTTATTGTTGTTGTTGCAACAGAAGGGTAACAGAGGTTGGGTTTACTGCTTCCAGTATAGCCTGCACAGGTCAACAGTACATTTACGCTATAAGTGAACCCATGGTGAATCTGAGTCGCGATGCGCTGTATCCTCTGAATCACATGGAGCTGTGGCATAAAACCAGTCTCAGATCGCCATCTTGTGGTGCCTTTGAATTCTAAGGAGATTTCCCTTGGACAACTTCGTCGAACCTAGATTTGTACTGAGCCATGTGTGTGACTCATGAACAGTGTGAGCCACACCAGTCGCAAAATCTTGCTCACATGAGGTCACAACCGCGGAATCTTCGATATGCGTCAAAAACAATGCATTTTTTAAAATCCTTTGCTATCTCTGTCATTTTTGCTGATCGTGCATCTGACTGCTAACCTTTCCCTGAGATTCTCAGCTCTGAGTAGCATAGAAACATAGGAACAGGAGTAGGCGATTCAGCTCTTCAAGCCTGTTCCGCCATTCTATAAGATTATGGCTGATCTGTATCTCAACTCCAATTACCTGCCTGTATCCCTTAATACCCTGACCGAATAAATATCTATCCACCTTAGTCTTGACCATGTGAATGGATCTAACATCCACAGCCTTTTGGGGGAGAGAGTTCTAGATTTCCACTACCCTTTGGGTGAATAACTGCCTCCTAACTTCACTCCTAAACGGCTTAGCTCTAATCTTAAAATTATACCACTTGTTCTGGATTCCCTCACCAGAGGAAATAGTTTCTCTATCCTGGGAAGCATCAGTCACAATGTGCTATCTTGAGAAAACAAATACATTTCAGGCAGCTATTCAGTACAGTATTTCCACACACACAGGGATGACACGAGATTTCAGGGAACTGGGAGCATTGCACCCAGTAACTCTTGTGAACCCTGGCGTGCTTTGCCCGATCATTAAATGCAATTTGATAGGTACACTATTTTTCTCTCTGAGTGACATGCTAAACTGGGAACCTTATGATCTTCCAGTATTACTATCATTCAGTACTGCTGATACAATATTATTCATTTTTTTCCCCGAGTTTCTCCTGGGTTTAATGATTTTTTCTGGTGCTGTGCTACTGTCAGACAGCACCCTGTCTCTTTTTATTACAATTATTTATTGCAAAGGTAAATAAGGGCCAAGGTCATTGTGTTCTCTTCTGGCTGCTGCTATTAGCAATTTTGGCAAAGTTATATCTTAATTGTTTTTCTGAGGAACTTGCATTATAGGGGACTCAATCAACAACAAAAAATCAATTTGTATGGCATCTTTCACATCAGGAACAAACCACACCTGAAACATTATGTTCAGTTTTAATAATAATAATTATTCCTGTATTTGATATAGCATCTATCACATCGTTGAGATGTCTCAAAGCGCTTCACAGGATATACTGTAAAGTGGATTGACGGTGTATTTTTTGGTGAGTGGGGCACAAAAAAAGGCAACTGCTTGCGTTAAAAAATGTCCCTGAGATGATATATTCTTGTGCCCCAGGAGAGGACACAAGCTCTCCTGATTGGCTCCCGCCAGCGCCTCCTCACCTCAGGATCTGGCAGCTTCACTTGTCCTCCATCCCTCTCTGATCCCAATCCACAGCTCGTCCATGCCTTCAGTCATCTTCCCTCCTCTGCCCCTCATATCCTTCACCCCTTTCTGATCCCAACCGGCAGCTCAGGTGCAAATGTCTCATTCTCAAGCACCTTGGGATGTCCTATTGACATGACAGAGTGGGTGTTAGTAGTGGAGGGCATGTTTGTAGCAGAGGGGGTATTTTTAGCAGAAGGGGTGTTTATGGTGAAGTGGGTGGTTGTAGTGGAGGGGGTGTTTGTAGAGGAGGGGGTGTTTGTAGAGGAGGGGGTGTTTGTAGAGGAGGGGGCGTTTGTAGAGGAGGGGGCATTTGTAGAGGAGGGGCGTTTGTAGAGGAGGGGGTTGTTTGTAGAGGAGGGGATGTTTGTAGAGGAGGGGATGTTTGTAGTGAAGTCATTATTGTCGAGTCAATCAAAGTTAGGAACAACCACAAAATAAATCCATTTATATGGCACCTTTCACATCGGGATCAGTTCTCCTTATATTTGGGAAGTCTTTTGAACGTTTTTTAAATACAAGTGTGACACAGAACCTCCCGGCCAAAACATTGTGGATCAAGATTCCTATAAAATCACAGAACATTGCAACATCTTGAAAAATACATTTAAACCTGATACCTACTGATCTACTAAGCTGAGTACTCCTGTGCTGTATTTTGGGTGGCTAGTATGGCTATCCATTTGGCCACTGGGGGCTTAAATAGTGGATAACAAAAACAGAAGTCACTGGGAACACTCAGCAGGTCAGGCAGCATCTATGGAGAAAGGAAAGTGAGTCAATGTTTCGGGGCCACAACCTTTCGTCAGAACTGGGGTATGTTGGGAGGGAGAGGCTTTTAAGGACCAACAGAGAGTGGGGAGGCAGGACAAGGAAGACAAAGGAGAAAATGGGGTAGGAGACAGGGGATGATGGGTTAAAGAGGTGTTAATGAAGCGGAACAAAAAAGGGGAGGAAAAAAGAACTTGTAACAAAAAAGGCAGATCAGGGAGAGAAAAGGTGTGTCTGGGGCAAAGATGATGCTTTTTTTTTGTTGCAAGTTCTTTCTCCCCACCACCACCCCTTTTTGTTGACGTTGACTCACTTTCCTTTCTCCATAGATGCTGCCTGACCTGCTGAGTGTTCCCAGCGACTTCTGTGTTTGTTTTCAGATTTCCAGCATCTGCAATATTTTGTATTTTGCTTAAATATTGGACGTTGCTCCATGATGAAACTAAAATGCTCTACCTGGCTATTTTGCTTTCCCCTTTCTACTTACAAATCTGAAGCTGCTACAACTCAATTTATATACATAATGCCTTTCCCATAAAAGAATGGCTCGAAGCACTTTACAAGATTTAAAGATGGTGACGTAGGTATGGTTATAGATACAATTTTAGATACTTCACAAAAATAAATCTTCCCACTTTTTGAAACAGTTCACACCCTGTGTTACACCACCAGGGTTATTAGAGCCACATTTCAGCTCCTGCTTTCCCTTGTATAATTTGGTTTCAATGCAGATGCACTTTGTCTCCATCTTCGACTCCAGGACCACTGTTGTTCTGACGGATTGTCTGTCAGACATTAAGTCTTGGATGAGAGGCAATTTCCTACAGTTGAATGTCGACAAGACAGAGGCTCTCCTAATCGGCTCCGTCAGTGCCTACACACCTCAAGATCTGGCAGCTTCACTTGCCCTCCAACCCTCTCTGATCCCAACTCTCAGCTCGTCTATGCTTTCAGTCATCTTCTCTCCTCTGCCCCTCTTGCCCTTCACCCTTTTCTGATTCCAACCCGCAGCTCAGGTGCAAACCCCTCATTGTCCAGCAACTTGGAATATCCTACTGACTTGACAGATGGGGTGTTTGTAGCAGAGGATGTTTGTCGTGGAGGGGGTGTTTTTGGCGGAAGGTTTGTTTGTGGTGGAGGGTGTGTTTGTACTGGAGGCTTTGTTTGTAAGCGGAGGGGGTGCTTGTAGCGGATTCCATGGAAAAATTGCAGCCGCACTTTTCTATTGGCCCAGGTTAATATGCAGTTGCACTGTGAACCTCTCAATCCAGTCACCCTGCTCATGTCCCATACGGTGGCCAGTTTTCATGCTAAAATGGCCAACTTTGGGGTCATTAGGTTGTTGTCATCAATTCCTGCTTTGTTGCACATGTGCAAAGCAAGAGATGGTGTTGCCAGTCACTTCATTATTTGGAAGTCAGCCATTTTAACCCCTAAAAAAAAAGGCTGACTTTGGTTTATCAGGTCACTGCCAACCTGACTTCCTGTTCTTGCCTTGCTCGTGTGCAGCAAACAGGAAGCAATGGTGGGGTAATCTAATGACCCAGAAGTTATAAATTTTTCTTTTTGGCCAGACAACGCTCAGAGATTGAATCAGCCACCCGCACATGTTCACAGTGAAACCACCATCTCAGACTGGTTGGGCCAAATGGTCTGTTTCTGTGCTGTACAACCTTATGTAAATCATGTCCCACTCTTATTACATGGTGGGAATTTATGGATCCCAAACACAACTCCACTGTGTTTCACTGTTTGTCTAATTGCCTTTTAAAGACTATAATTGACCTGGCTTTCAGTAGTTGTAAAGATTGAATCCTTGTCGGTAATCGTATATGGATCATGCAGATTCAGTTCAGAGGAAGGAAGGAGACCGTGTCCGAGTGGAGTTCACACAGATCAATGTGGTACATGTACACAATTCGATACGTATCATTTTCAACTCTCTCTCATTAAAACTCTTGTACTATTCAAAATATCAGCTCACTGGTCCTATTCACTTATAAAATCTATTGATCATCAATCAGCAACATATTACCAGAATAATGACTTGGTAGCATTTTACAGTGAAGCGGAACCAGCTCACAACAAGTAATGAAGCTATATCACATTTAACTACAAATGATGTAAAAATGTATTTATTGTGTTCCTTTACAAATGGTTCCTGCATCCGGACTTTACAACATAAAACGTTTTGTTAAAACAATTTTTGATTGTTTTCTTTAATGCTGGACACTCTGGCTTGGGCTCCTCTGATTTGACAACTTTTAACCCATCAGGTAACCCCTGAAAAACAGATTCAGATAAGGTTTATTTTAACGAAAAGGCACTTGTACAAATTTCAGCATAGAAGACAGGAATATGGCCTAGTGCCTGTTCTATGATAGCTCACTCACCAGAGTTTTTCCCCATATCCCTTCGCTTTCCCTATTCCATTCTGCTTCTTTGTCGGATCGATTTCAAGATCCTCTCACTCACTTTCAAATCCCTTCATGCCCTGTCACCTCCCTACCTATCTGATCTGCTTACACCCACTCCACATCACGCTGCCTCCACTCAGCTGGTTCTGGCCTTCTGTTTGTACCTCATCCCCTCCGCTTCAGGCTGTGCCTTCAGCCACTACGCCCCGAAACTCTGGAACTCTCTCCCTTATTCCCTCCACTTTGCTTCCTCCCTACCTTCAAATCCTGCCTAAAAACCTTTTTTTTTTTGATCGTGCTTACAGTCACCTCCCCCCTCCCCTGGATCGGTGTCAGACTCCAGAACTGTCAAGTACTTTAGGATGCTACCCCACGTGAACAGCACTATATAAATTCAAGTCGTTGTTCATATTTTAACTATTTGTCTAATTCCTTTACAAATAGTGTAACTGACCTGGCTTCAGTAACTACTTATGATAAAGCATTCCAAATCCTAATCTTTTGTGTAATGGGAGTAAGTACCATCCTTTTTGCGTTTAGAATAAAGAGGCTGAAATTTCCTTTCTTCTGTGCATTGCTACAAGTGCAGACGTGTGGTATATCTGATATAATGGAAGTCTTTTCCCATATACAACAATGTCAGAGAGGAAATAACTTCCAAATCACAGACATATTACAACAGTCGCTTCGTTCTAAAGTTACAGAGCAAATGCTGATGTATAACATTGATGGTCCACAAAATAGACATAGAAGCAGAAACAAGGCAGAGCAATATCATTACTTACGGAAGTTTCATCCTCATGAAGACTCTTGCCATGAAGAAACTGAGTAAGACACTGACAAATCCAATGAAGAGAAGCAAGAAGCGGTTCAGCTTTGGGATGTTAGGGGCATTGGAACGATCCAAGATGATGAACCCGAGACCTCCCATTGTAAACAGGAAACTGGAAGCAAGGCCTTCCATAATGTACTGGCCATTCACTCTGCAAAAGTAGGCAAAGAAGTGATTAACCCAGTTGTCAAAAGCACTTTGAGCATAATTTTGTTTTGGTCAGCCAGATGTCTGACACATGTGGAAACCCATCACAATGGTTAAGAGTAACCAAACCAGAAAAATGCATGTCACCCACATATGGACATTCCCGTGTTTAGAATGGAATGCGCACTCTCTCCCGGAGGGATGCACCCTTCTTACCGAATTCCAGAAGGTGTTAGACACAGGCTAGCAAGAGCTAAGGCTTGGGGAGTGTGCGATGGGGTACTGCTGGAGTTTAACCAGCTAAAACTGCATAGCTTCGATCACAAAACGTATAAGGCGAAAACATCACTGACTGTACAAGATACTACCACAAGTGGTATAGATACAGTCACATATATACACACACTTTTGTCTGTACTGGGACACCTCGCAAAGTAGTATAGGTTATTTGCCCATCACACATTATTACAGTGTGGTATACTCAAACACTCATTTGTGATCACCAGAATTTTGTTTATTAAAAATGAATTACTCTATTCCAATAGGCTTTGCCTCTGTCCGAGCTACACAAAATGTACAACCTACACCAAAACAATCCAATCCAAATGCAAAGTAGCTACTGAAAGACTTGAGTGAATGTACAGCAATTTTAAAATTATACCCCTTGTTCTGGGACTTTCCTCGAGTCATCCATTATCTAGCTTATCAATTCTCTTCACTATTTTAAACACTTCAATATTTAATTTGCAAGTATGCAATTGCACACTACACTTTTAAAACCACCTGCAGAATCAGTCCACAGGCAGACAGGAATCTCAGATATCCCTACACCCATGGGGACCAGATATCTCCCAGCACTTTGAGGCTGAGGATCACCTTAGAACTCAACTCATTTTCACCAGTTATACAAATCAACACAGCATCACACTACTGAATATTGATTAAATTGTTAATCTATTACTACAAATCTCAGGTACTAATCCATCCTTCAGATGAGACATTAAACCAAGGTCCAGTCTCTGTCTCTTCAATTCTAAGGCATTATTCAAAAATGGAAGGGAGTTTCTCAGGGTGTCCTGATTTAACAATCTGCTAATTGAAATTGGTCACACTCCACAACTATTTGTGGAACATTATTGACATTGCTGTAGGGCAATTGACTGTCACATTTGTTTACATTTCGGCAATGCGATAGAGCAGTATCAAAGCAAGGATTGTTAAAAACTATTTACAAAAATCAATATTTAAGATGTATGAAGGAAATAATGGGGGAATAAAGAGTTGAACTAAATTCTACTAAATCTACAGTCAGTACTTGTCTCTCTATTCATACCTGTATGCTAAGAAGGCTACTGGCCTCTGGTGGCCATGTTCATCTGTCATTGATCCCACACTTGGAGGTTCCACAATCACATCGTAAATTATACCTAAGGAAAATAAAAGTCCTTCAAAATACAGTAGCAAACAATGAAGCTCCATTCTTTATTTAGTTTTCATACTATTGCACAAGTTGTTTCCCCAGTAAATCCAAGTAAGAAAAGAGGGGAAACAGTCTACTCCCCAATGTGGGTAGTTATTTCTTAATGGGACACTAAGCCACAAATAAGGAAAGTTCCAGGTTGATTCCTAATCTGCACCAAGTTATCTAATTTCAGCCAATAATTATGCTCAGCATTCCTGATCTTAGAGGGAAGAAAGGGAGAAAGAATGAAGAAATAACCCAGAGTTTTTCCTGCTGATTGATAACGGTCCAGTGATCTTTGCTGGTAAATGTTGGTGCTGAAACCAGAGTCAGCCTTGGCCATGATGCCACGAAGGAGGAGTCCTGTAGCTCAGTGGTTAGAGCACTCGCTTTGCAAGTGAGAGACCTGAGTTCAATTCCAGGCAGAGGGCGAAACCTTGGGCAAGTTTCCTTACTCCACACACCTAATAATAATCCCTCCAAAAAAAAGAAATACAATAATAAATCGGTCATTTTCAATCTACGACTGTTTGTGGGACATTGCTGTGCGCAATTGGCTGCCGCGTTCGCCCACAAATATACAGTCAATTCACTTTACAGTGTGTTCTGTGAAGCGCTTTGGGACGTCCTCCTGACGTGAAAAGCGCTATATCAAATGCAAGGATTATTATTATCATTATGATCAAATGCACGGTCAAAGAGGAGGGTCTTGAGACGGGTCTCAAAGGAGGAAGGGAGGGGGCGAGGTGGAGGGACTGTGGGATGGAGTTCCAGAGTGTGGGGGCAGAGTGGCACAAGGCCCACCCGCCAATGGTGGGGCGGGCGAGAAGTGGGGGGGAACGTGAAGCAGGCCAGAGCCCGCTGAGTGGGCAGGTTGGTAGGGGGTTTGGAGGTCGCAGAGGTAGGGGGGAATGAGGTCATGGAGGGTTTTGAAGGTGAGGACCAGGATCTTGAACTGCATCCTCTGTGTGATGGGAAGCCAATGGAGTTGAGCGAGGATGGGGGTGATAGGGTTACGGAGCCTGGTGCAGGAGAGGTCATGGGCTGCAGAGGTCTGGATGATCTGCAGCCTATGGAGAGAGGATGTGGGGAGGTCAACAAGCAGGGAGTTAGCATAGTCAAGCCTGGATGTTATGAATGCGTGTATGAGGGTTTCGGTGGCCTGAGGTGTGAGATAGTGGTGGAACCGGGAGATGTTGCAGAGGTGCAGGAAGGTAGAGAGTGTCATAGCATTTATGTGGGGTAGAAAGGATAGTTGAAGCTCAAACAAGAAGCCAAGGAGCCAGACTGGCTTAGTAAGGTGGAGTGTGCATCCTTGGATGGTGACGCTGTCAGCGCCTGAAGTGTGGAGGCACTGATGGGAGCCAATCAGGAGAGCCTCGGTCTTGTTGACGTTCAACTGAAGAAAGTTAGCTTTCATCCAGGACTTCAGGACAGCAGTGGTTCTGGAGTCAAGGGTGGAGGCAGAGGGGTACAGTTGGTTGTCATCCGCATACATGTCTGCAGGTGATGTCATCAAGAGGGAGCGTATAGATATCGAAGACGAGGGGACCAAGGACAGAGTCCTGAGGAACGCTGCATAAGACGGTGTGGAGGCTACAGAAGAAACCATTTGTAGAGATGAAGTGAAGACGGTGTGAGAGGTACGATCTGAGCCATTCAATACCAGAACCATGAAGGTTGAGGTGAGAGGAGGTGGAGGATGAGGATAGAGTGGTCAACGAAAGGCAGCAGAGAAGTCACAGAGGACGAGGAGGCAGAGGGAGTCCTGGTCGCAGATGGACAGAATGTGATTTGTCACTTTGACCAGGGCGGTTTTTGTGCGGTGGGCGGCACAGAAACCCGATTGGAGGGGTTTGTGAAGGGAGTGGCGGGAGAGGAAGGAGCAAAGCTGGGAAGCAACAACTCGTTCCTGGACCTTGGAAAGGAAAGGGAGGTTGGAGATGGGGGTTAGTTTGAGAGCAGAAATGGGCCCAGGAAGGGGTTTTTCAGGATAAACCTGAGGCAGCTCTGTGGCCGGGACCCCCACAGGCAGCTCTGTGGCCGGGACCCCCACAGGCAGCTCTGTGGCCGGGACCCCCACAGGCAGCTCTGTGGCCGGGACCCCCACAGGCAGCTCTGTGGCCGGGACCCCCACAGGCAGCTCTGTGGCCGGGACCCCCACAGGCAGCTCTGTGGCCGGGACCCCCACAGGCAGCTCTGTGGCCGGGACCCCCACAGGCAGCTCTGTGGCCGGGACCCCCACAGGCAGCTCTGTGGCCGGGACCCCCACAGGCAGCTCTGTGGCCGGGACCCCCACAGGCAGCTCTGTGGCCGGGATCCCCACAGGCAGCTCTGTGGCCGGGACCCCCACAGGCAGCTCTGTGGCCGGACCCCCACAGGCAGCTCTGTGGCCGGGACCCCCACAGGCAGCTCTGTGGCCGGGACCCCCACAGGCAGCTCTGTGGCAGGGACCCCCACAGGCAGCTCTGTGGCCGGGACACCGGGGGAGGGGCTGTGGCCGGGACCCCGGGGGGAGGGGCTGTGGCCGGGACCCCCACAGGCATCTCTGTGGCCGGGACCCCCACAGGCAGCTCTGTGGCCGGGACCCCGGGGGAGGGGCTGTGGCCGGGACCCCGGGGGGAGGGGCTGTGGCCGGGGCCCCCACAGGCAGCTCTGTGGCTGGGACCCCGGGGGGAGGGGCTGTGGCCGGGACCCCGGGGGGAGGGGCTGTGGCCGGGACCCCCACAGGCAGCTCTGTGGCCGGGACCCCGGGGGGAGGGGCTGTGGCCGGGGGGAGGGGCTGTGGCCGGGACCCCGGGGGGAGGGGCTGTGGCCGGGACCCCGGGGGGAGGGGCTGTGGCCGGGACCCCGGGGGGAGGGGCTGTGGCCGGGACCCCGTGGGAGGGGCTGTGGCCGGGACCCCGGGGGGAGGGGCTGTGGCCGGGACCCCGGGGGAGGGGCTGTGGCCAGGACCCCGGGGGGAGGGGCTGTGGCCGGGACCCCGGGGGGAGGGGCTGTGGCCGGGACCCCGGGGGGAGGGGCTGTGGCCGGGACCCCGGGGGGAGGGGCTGTGGCCGGGACCCCGGGGGGAGGGGCTGTGGCCGGGACCCCGGGGGGAGGGGCTGTGGCCGGGACCCCGGGGGGAGGGGCTGTGGCCGGGACCCCGGGGGGAGGGGCTGTGGCCGGGACCCCGGGGGGAGGGGCTGTGGCCGGGACCCCGGGGGGGGGGCTGTGGCCGGGACCCCGGGGGGAGGGGGAGGTGGGCGGGACCCCGGGGGGAGGGGGAGGTGGGCGGGACCCCGGGGGGAGGGGCTGTGGCCGGGACCCCGGGGGGTGGGCGGGGCTCAGGCTCGGGCTCTGCGGGAGGTCAGGTCGGGGTCGGGAGAGACTCACCGCCGGTGATGAGGAAGTAGGAGACGATGACGAGCGCGTACACGGTCATGGCGGACGGGGTGTGCAGCCATCCCGGCTTCTTCAGCTTCACGTTGGGGCATTCGAGCAGCGCGAAGGGCAGCCCGTACAGCGCCTCCATCACTGCACACGTCACTTCCTTTCCACAAGCCCCGCCCCCTCCCCGAGCCGTGTCGACGCGGCGGCCCCGGCTCCAACTTCCTGTCCGGAGCGACACGTGTGCAGGAAATGACGCAGGCCGGCTCCGCCTCCGATCCTCGCTGAGCTGCGTGGCCGGAAGTGTCTGTGGCCGTGGCATTGCGATGCCTCCTGTAGCTGGTGATACACACACACACACGGGAACACCCCATCACTATGGTTACACCTGCCCCCCCGGAGCATCATGGGTGATCACATGGGTGATCTGTGTGTTGTCCTGTAGATCGCAATACTGAGTCCTGCAGCTCAGTGGTTAGAGCACTCGCTTTGCAAGTGAGAGACCTGAGTTCAATTCCAGGCAGAGGGCGAAACCTTGGGCAAGTTTCCTTACTCCACACAGAGCCTAATAATAATCCCTCCAAAACCAAAAACAATAATAAATTGGTCATTTTCAATCCACGACTGTTTGTGGGACATTGCTGTGCGCAATTGGCTGCCGCGTTCGCCCACAAATATACAGTCAATTCAATTTACAGTGTGTTCTGTGAAGCGCTTTGGGACGTCGAGAAGGATTGTTGCAAGGATTGTTATTGTAATATACTTTATAATATAGTAATAACCTTCCATTTGATACAGAGCCTTATCACGTTTTCCAGACACCTCAAAGCGCTTCACAGACTGTACTGTAAAGTGTGACTGTTTTGCGGGCGAAATATAGTTATATAGACTGATGTAGATTATAGTGTGGGCTATTGTATAGATTATATCATTTATTGTGTAGATTATAGTTTATTGTGTATATTTTATTTTGGTTTATAGATTGTAATACAGTTTATTATATAAATTGTAATATAGTTATTTAGATTATAATAAAGTTCATTATATAGATTGTAAATAAGTTCATTGTGTATATTGTAATATACAGCAGTTTATTTCTAGTTTATTCTAAAGCTTCCTTTAAACATTGTATTCAAATGTAAAGTTTGAACGTGGACCAAACAACACTTAAAGGCACAGAGAGTAAACGTTTAGTTTTGAAACGGATACATCGAAAATAATTGGAAAGCGATCAGCAGATTTGTAAACGCGAGAAATTCTCTTTGCGATTTTAATTAAAAAAAGGGGAAAAAAAAACATTTTCTTCTTCAATGTGTTTCTAAATGTTCCAATTATTAAAGATGACAAGAGCCAGAAACAACTTTCTGAGCACAAACTGTCTAGTGTTGCCACTGGAGGAGCTGAAGACCAGATCACCCTGTTCCAGACTCAGAGTTGGGAACAAGAGAAGAGATCACAGGGAGCAAGGCCGTTATATCAGGACAAGTATCGTAGAAAACTACATTGTTTACGTGTTTACATATTTATATGTTTAGAAAAACAATATGCAAGACAACAAACCGATCCTTGACCACTTTGTATGAACAAGGACCAAGCAAGCACGTTCCAAATGTAAAATAAAATCAGTTGCCGAAATAGGGACAGGCTGAGAATACCAAAGGGCAGTTTAAAATATTACAGGGGAAAAGTCAAATAGTGTATTACACTGCGCACTGCTCCCTTTATTGAGTTTTCCCTCATTTCTCCTGATCAAACAGTAGAAACACCAACACCCAGTAGCAGTATTAATATTAGAATTAGAAAGAGTACAAAAAAGAAAGTGCAGGCGATGTCGGGAGAAATGGTGAATGAGGACAATTAATAAGACTACATCTGTTAGATAAGGAATACAGCAGGAGCTTTAGCCAGGAGATGGGGGTTTAGGTCTTAAAGTTATTGGGCAGAGAGAGCGATGGGACTTGGGTTGACTGGGAAAGATAGGCCAGCGCTGTCTTACTGACATCAGGCTAACTTGCACAATTCAAGCCGGTTGGTTAATGGGCAGAGAATAAACCTCAGTCTTTGGGATTCAAGAAGTCGAAGTGAATGTGGAATTTGTGACAAACTACTGTTTTGAGGCTGATTTTGAGATCAGCAGCTTGTGCTCTCTGTGAGATGCTATAACTGACCTGAGCTGCATCTTATGAATGTGGGTTCCACAGCTGTTACTGGGGATTGTTTCTGGTGTCCAGTGAGGATCAGAGCCACATCCACAACAACTCCCTGACTGCCAGAGCCAGAGGACAGCACTGGGGACACAGCCTCACTGAAGCCATTGGGATCTGCAGGAGACACTGAGGCTACTTTTGACATTTTCTAATGGACGTTATTTCAGTTCAGGTCTCTCAGGTTGTATGCCCATTAGCGGAGAGGGGACCATGTCATCAGTGAGGTGAGGAGTGTGTACCTGTGATCAGTGAGTGGGTCTGTACCTGTGATCAGTGAGTGTGTGTGTAACTATGATTAGTGAGTGTGTGTGTATCTGTGATCAGTGAATTTCTGTGTACCTGTGATCAGTGAGTGGGTGTATAACTGTGATTGTGTGTGTGTACCTGTAATCATTGAGTGTGTATATCTGTGATCAGTGAGTGTGTATATCTGTGATCAGTGAGTGTGTGTACCTGTGATCAATGAGTGTGTATAACTGTGATTGTGTGTGTGTACCTGTGATCAATGAGTGTATATCTGTGATCAATGATGGTGTATATCTGTGATCAGTGAGTGTGTATATCTGTGATCAGTGAGTGTGTATATCTGTGATCAGTGAGTGTGTATATCTGTGATCAGTGAGTGTGTATAACTGTGATTGTGTGTGTGTACCTGTGATCAATGAGTGTATATCTGTGATCAATGATGGTGTATATCTGTGATCAGTGAGTGTGTATATCTGTGATCAGTGAGTGTGTATATCTGTGATCAGTGAGTGTGTATATCTGTGATCAGTGAGTGTGTATATCTGTGATCAGTGAGTGTATATAACTGTGATTGTGTGTGTGTACCTGTGATCAATGAGTGTATATCTGTGATCAGTGAGTGTGTATATCTGTGATCAGTGAGTGTGTATATCTGTGATCAGTGAGTGTGTATATCTGTGATCAGTGAGTGTGTATAACTGTGATTGTGTGTGTGTACCTGTGATCAATGAGTGTATATCTGTGATCAGTGAATGTGTATATCTGTGATCAGTGAGTGTGTATATCTGTGATCAGTGAGTGTGTATAACTGTGATTGTGTGTGTGTACCTGTGATCAATGAGTGTGTATATCTGTGATCAGTGATGGTGTATATCTGTAATCAGTGTGTGTGTATAACTGTGATCAGTGAGTAAGTGTGTACCTGTGATCAGTGAGTGTGTAAAACTGTGATCAGTGAGTGTGTGTATATCTGTGATCAGTGAGTGTGTGTGTACCTGTGATCAATCAGTGTGTATATAAATATTATTTTCTCATACTGGCTGGAGATGGCACTAGAGGCACAGTAGGATGTTTCTGATACAGGAGGATGTCTGAAAGCAGCACAAGGCTCTCCCCCCTTAAGCAGACAACAGACCAGGGTGGAGTTGTGGAGATGGAGTATTACTTATTTATTTGGGGGGGATCATTTGTGGAGTCCTGTAGTTCAGTGGTTAGAGCACTTGCCCCGCAAGTGAGAAGACCTGGGTTCAATTCCCAGGCAAAGGAAAACATTAGGCAAGTTTCCTTACTCTACACATCTCTGTTTACGTTGCAGTAAGTAGGTGCCCAGTTGTTGGCGGATTGCTTTTCCGGGGGTAATAATCCCTTCAAAACAATGATTTTTTTAATTAAATAACAATTTGGTCACTATCCACAACTGTTTATGGGACACTGCTATGCGCAATTCGCTCACAAAATACACAGTCAATTCACTTTACAACAACAACAAAATTACATTTGTATAGCACCTTTCAAGTCAGGAGGACGTCCCAAGACGCTGGACAGTCAGTGTTTCGGACCTGAGCTGGGGGTCGGGATCGGGGAGGGTGGAAGGCAGGGGGGGGAAGCATGGTGATCGAAAGCACGGTCAAAGAGGAAGGTCTTGAGATGGGTCTTGAAGGAGGCAAGGGAGGGGCGAGGTGGAGGGACTGCAGGATGGAGTTCCAGAAGGTGGGGCAGAGTGGCACAAAGCCCGCCCACCATTGGCGAGGCAGGGGATGTGAAGCAGGCCTGAGCCCGCTCAATAGAGGGAGCGGGCAGGATGTTAAAGGGTTAGGAAGTCGCAGAAATAGGGAGGAGCAAGACCAGGGAGAGCTTTGAAGGTGAGGGCCAGAATCTTGAACTGTATCCTCTGTGTGATGGGAAGCCAGTGGAGTCAGGCGAGGATAGGGGTGATAGGGTCACGGAGCCTGGTGCGGGAGCGGACACGAGCTGCAGAGTTCTGAATGATCTGCAAATTATGGAGCGAGCAGTTGGGGAGGCCAACAAGCAAGGAGTTTGCATAGTCAAGCCTCGATGTTATGAATGCGTGTATGAGGGTTTCGGTGACCTGCGGTGTGAGACAGTGGTGGAGACGGGCGATGGCACGGATGTGGGGTACAAAGGATAGTTGAGGGTCAAACAAGATACCAAGGTTCCGGATTGGCTTAGAAAGGTGGAGTGTGCAACCGTGGACGGAGATGCTGTCAGCGCCTGAAGTGTGGAGGCGCTGACGGGAGCCATTCAGGAGATCCTCAGTCTTGTTGACGTTCAACTGAAGAAATTTAGCTTTCATCCAGGACTTCATGTCTGACAGACATTCTGTTTACAGAATGTTCTGTGAAGCGCTTTGAGATGTCTCGAAGATGTGATAAGGCGCTCTTATCAAATGTAAGGTTCACAACACAGTACAAATGTAAGGATTATTATTATAATGCAGAACTTTACCACAGGGCATAAAATTGGAGGGTGGGGTAGAATCCACAATGAATTGTCCTGGTTTGTGGATGAGACAGGCTTGACAGTGGCTACTAACTGTTGTTCATGATTAAAGGGAAACAAAGGACCTAATAAACGGACACATCAATTTTTTATTACTATTATCTACTGTGTAAACACAGCAATATTGGTAACATACACAAGCTTCCTGTAATACATTTCACAAACAGGTTGGGAGTTCATTTCCCCATGGCTTAATGGGTAAAAGCGTGGTATAGCACTAAGTCATACGGACACGGAAGATTGTGGGATGAAATCCAGGCCTCTGTATTTAGCTTGAATGCCCAGGATCAAGAGAGAAGTAAGCTAGGACTCCTTCTCAGGGCCACCAACTGGCTGGCCAGTGTTGGATTTGATGCCTCCACAATTGAATTGCCTGTGGACTGTCATGGCAGAAAGAAAGAACTTTCATTTTATAATGCTCTCACCCTGAAATGTCTTGAAGCACTTTACAGTAATAGTTTAAATCTTCATATTTTATAGTCGATTATAGTGACTGATTTTGCAGGCAAACCCAGAAGCCATTTTACACCAGCAAGGCCCCAGGTTGGGATTTGGAACCTATATAATCGAAGATGATGTACCATTTGCAGTGCTGGGGGTTGTTGCATTGACGGAGGTGCTGTCCTTCAGATGAGACGTTAAACCCAGGTCCTGATTGCTTGTCCAGGTGGACATTAAAGATCCCATTCGAAAGGAGAAGGGAGTTACTCCTTTTGTCACAGCCAACAATCCTGCACCACCCCCCCACCCAAATAAAATTGGTCACTCACTTCCTCACTGTTTGTGAGGCATTGCTTTGCACAAACTGGCTGCCACATTCACCCACAAAATAAACACAGTAACACCATTATGCAGATTATCGTGGGAAGCACTTTGAGACGTCTCGACAATGTGATAAGGAGTTATTTTAAAAGCAAGGATTATTACAAACAGCCATGAGATGAATGACCAATTTATCTGGAAAATGTTGGCCCAGGACACCAGGGAAAACTTCTCTTTTCAAACTGTGGGACCTTTAACTCTTGTGAAGGCACACAAGAAGCATTCCCCCCGAGGGCAGCTGGTAGGTCATTGTGTTCCTTTGCGTGGGTCCATGCCTTCAGGAGGGGAGAAATTGGCACCCAAAAAAGATTAAACTTTGTATAATATGCAAATAGTCCAAACTATTTTAGGAGTCTTATCTACCAATGCAGGCCCAATCCTCTGACACATTCAATCTGCTATGCACCTCCTCAGAGTTTCGTTTGCTCTAGCAAAATTGATTTTGTATGCTAGAAAGATTGTCAAGGTAACAATTAACTTGGAACTAACCACTGCTTTTGAAGAGTGACTTTGAGGCATTGTTGTTAAACTCAGGGGTGACCGCTCTCCCAACCACCCGGCACGCTGCTCACTATGGGATCGAAATTCCGTTGGGTCATGGGTTTTGACATCAGTCTTTTAGAAGTTTTTGTACCAAAATCCTTTACAGCAAAACAGAGTGTAGTTTACGGGGTTCAAAAGATCCATATAGATACAATCCTTGCATTTGATCGAGATGTCTCAAAGCGCTTCACAGAATATACTGTAAAGTGAATTGACTGCATATTTTGTTGATGAAACACAGCAGCCAATTGCGCACAGCAGTGTCCCACAAACAGTCCTGGATTGAAGTGAACAATTTTTTTAAAGAAATTATTACCCCCAGAAAAGCCATCCGTCAATTGACTAATAACCGGGTTCCCACTTACTGCTAGGTAAACAGAGGCGTGTGGAGTAAGTAAACTTGCCCAACATTTCACCCTGCCAGGAATCGAACCCAGGTCCGCTCGCTTGCTCCAACCACTGAGCTACAGGACTCCAGTTATTGGGGAAATTACACAATTTCTGAGGGATAGCAAAGCAGCGAGCTCCAAGGTGAGGATGAGGATCTTGAACTCTATCTTCTGGGGGATGGGCGCCAGTGCAACCGGGCGATGATGGGGGTATGGGCATATTGAGCCCGGTGTGGGACACGAACTGTAGAGTTCTAAATGGTCTGCAGCTGATGGAGGAAGGAGTCCGACAAGCAGAGGGTAGGTGGCGTCAATCCTGGCCATGATGAATATGTGTATAAGGGTCTCCGTGCCCAAGGGCAGAGGGAGTGTTGGAGGTGGGCAATGTTACAGAGGTGGGCAAAGTTGAATGGGTCAGAGCACTGTTATGGTGTTTAAAGAATAAGTGGGTGTCGAACAAAACACTGAGGTTCCGCACTGACTCCATGAGATTACTAGTCAATGTCTGAACTGACAGGAGTCAACCAGGCAGGCCTCTGTCTTGTCAACATTCAACTGGAGAAAGTTAGCTCTTATCCAGCAATTGGTGACTGACAGACTCAGTCAGAACAGCAGTGGTCTTGGAATCGAAGGTAGAGCCAGAGAAAGTGTTATCTGCATACTTGTGGAAATTGACTCCATGCCTGAGGATGCCATTGCAAGCAGGAGCATATAGATATTAAAAAGGAGAGTTTATCTCCAATAAACAGACACTAAAAACTGGCAGGAGTTCAGGACATTAGCTGCTGCACAAAGTGTCCAAATTGGCTATTGTGTTTACGCACAAAACACACAGTCGCTGCACCTTACAATATATCCTGTGAAGCACTTTGAGACGTCTTCCTGACATGAAAGGGGCTATGCCAAATATAAGGATTATTATCATTATTATATACAGTATCTGTTTGTATATACAACTACTGATAATGCAACATATTTAAGCACTGGAGAGACAGTGTTGAACAACACAGCATTTGTGCTGCCTTTGTTTGATTGTTCATAATAGCTTCACTGGTGTAAGTGAGACTTTTTACTTTTCAATCTGTAGACATTTGAGAATGAGGAATGTGTAATTCATCCTCTATCTCTTGTTTTATTTGCTTTGTACTTTTATGCAGACGTCCTTACCTTCCTGACCTAATTTTCTCTCCCTCCACCAATTCTAGCCCCACTTTCCCTGCTGAACATGTTGACTTGCTGGGGTTTGTCAGTGACTGCCATCAGCTCCTATACATTCAAGTGTGTGTGACTGGTCAATGCGTGTTCTTAGCTCAGCCCAATGCTGCCTTTACTCAATATTTATCAACAAGTATTTTCACTGGATTTTCCAATGCCCTCCTTGCTCTATTTATCATTATCAGAACCAACCGTATTTCAGAAAGCCTTTATTAAATCCCCTCTTAACAACCCCTGATCCAGGCCTGCACTTCACCATCTGGGAATCGGTCTAGGTGTTCACATCGATTGCTGGCTCCCATTGCTCACTCCCACTGTTAAACAGCAAAAAGCTAGTTAGAACAAGTGAAGGGTTCTTTAATCATGATGTCAATGTGTTTTCCTGGGAATAAGTAGAGCTCCTGTTAGGTTCTGACAGAAACTGTACTTTAGGTGCAAAGTTCAAGTTGTACTGTGTCCTCCAGAGGTTAATCATTTGTCAGACCCAGACTGAATCCTACAGGCGGCACAAATACACAGTACATATGACTGAAGTATCAGCATAGTCAGTCGTTCATCCTCATTATTATCCACATAATTATATTATTCTGAGCCTCTTCTTCATCTGCCAATAACTGAATAATAAAAGAATAATAATATTGAGTGGTGGATATTGCTGGTACAAAATAGCTGCCAGGTCTCTACAAAAACAGTCACTAAACATGACAGTAAGTACATGTGAAGCACTTTGAGACTTTTTGATGTGACAAGACGATGTAAGTTTTTTTCTTTTGTTTGCTTCCCTACAACCCCATGCAAAGAGATCAACCGACTCACTGCAGGAAGCTGTGGATGAAGCACAAGAATAGTCAATGTATTTAAGACATAACTTGATGCATAGATGAGAGAGAGTGGAATAGAGGGAATCAGGTGAGGGGAATAGGAGGGATGGATGCTGGTGTGGGGTGGAAACACCAGCACAGATTAGTCTAGCCAAATGGCCTTTTTCCCATGCTTTAATGTTGTATGTAATTCTATGTTTTATTCCTTTTGCTTCAGGTTTGCCAAGAGTTTGCCGTTGCCCCTTCCCATAAGCTAGGTGAACTTCCGACATCTCACTGGGTATAGCAGCATCTGCAATGGTAGGTGAAGATGATCATGAGGGAATGAGCAAGGAAGCCAGCTGCTGCCTGTCGTGGGGCCGGGTTGGTTTCTGAGGGGCTGGGTCATGATGCACACACAGTATTTACTGCTGCTGTGTAGTAAATACCCGGCAAGTAGGGAGAGCTTCACCGGGCTGAAATGGGGCTGTGATTGACCCACTAACAGGCAATGTCAGGGGTTGCGCATCACTAGACCCAGCAGAGGGAAGTCACCGCACAGCTCACTCTCTACAGTCTCTGGTCTCATCGAGACTCCCCTCGCCTGAGTCAAATATTAACTCGTGGGTTTTCTGTGTCGCACTCAACTTTGAGAGAGAAACAATGGTAAGTTTGCACATTATCGGAAGGCAGACGCGTTTGTTTGACAAAGCGGCTGCCATTGAGTAGAATAAAATATCGACTTTCAATGGAGGGTGTGTATAAGGTAAGCGTGTTGCTCTAGAGAGAAACCTCAGTCCGGGGAGAGACTGAGTCACCAGCTTTGTTAGAGAATAATTGCCATGACAATTCGACATAGGATCCTGATTTTACTTAATAAATGAGAGGTTAACAGATTAGATAGAAACACGAGTAAGAATACTGTAGCCTGAAGTAAGAAATTACAGTGTTTAGCTTTGTTTTGGTGTTTTAATTCTCCTGACGTGGCATGTTGTTTACCTCTGTTTGTCGATCTTGTTTGTGAAACTGTGAACAGTTTACAGGGGGCACTGCTGGTCTTTATTGGAAAGTCTTTGGGAAAAAGGTGAAAAACAAGCAAACTCTGGCAAAGGCCTGACTAAGGCAGCTCTACCTTGTGGCAACTTGTCTTTGCATGATTCACATGAGAGACAAAGTGATGTTCGGCTGTTTATTTCCTCCCTGGCACAGACAGCGCCTCCTCAAAGCTTTGTTTGCTTTTGTAATTTGGACCAAAAAGGCCTATTTTTCAGCTTCCCTATTATCTAAAAAAAATTATCATTTCTTTAAGATTTATTAGACATTGTAATGGTATCACGACTTTTTGGTCACCCTGTATATAAGCCACTGAACCCTGCTGATTCTTCACATGTCAAATTGTTATTTGTTCCATTGTCATTTCAATGCTGCATATACTCAAAGACACTCGGATAAGGATTCCCCTCCTCACAACAGCAACAACAAAATGACATTTGTATAGCGCCTTTCACGTCGGGAGGAAGTCCCAAGGCACTTGACAGACAGAGTTACGGGCCCGAGCTGGGGGTCAGAGTGCGTGAGGGTGGAGGGCATGGGGGGAAGCGGGAAGATCGAAAGCACGGTTGAAGAGGAGGGTCTTGAGACGGGTCTTGAAAGTGGAGAGGGAGGGGGCGAGGTGGAGGGACTGCGGAATGGGGCTCCAGAGGGTGGGGCAGTGTGGCACAAAGTGGCCAATGGTGGGGACATGAAGCAGGCCAGAGCCCGCTGAGCGGAGGGACTGAACAGGATGGTAGGGGGTAAGGAGGTTGCACAGGTAGTGGGGAGCAAGACCATGGAGGGCTTTGAAGGTGAGGACCAGGATCTTGAACTGTATCCTCTGTGTGATGGGAAGCCAGTGGAGTTGGGTGAGGATGGGGGTGATAGGGTCGCAGAGCCTGGTGTGGGAGAGGACACGGTCTGCAAAGTTCTGGATGATCTGTAGCCTGTGCAGGCTGACTCCTCCTTTCCTGAAAACACCACCTTATTGTTCCATCTTCATCGGACACCCTCCCATACCTCAACCAAGTGACCTTTATGTGTGAACCCAGATAGTGAGGGCACAATGTCGCCAAGCCTCATCCTTTGGAGTCCTGTAGCTCAGTGGTTAGAGCACTCGCTTTGCAAGCGAGAGACCTGAGTTCAATTCCAGGCAGAGGGCGAAACCTTGGGCAAGTTTCCTTACTCCACACAGAGCCTAATAATAATCCCTCCAAAACCAAAAACAATAATAAATTGGCCATTTTCGATCTACAACTGTTTGTGGGACATTGCTGTGCGCAATTGGCTGCCGCGTTCGCCCACAAATATACAGTCAATTCACTTTACAGTGTGTTCTGTGAAGCACTTTGGGACGTCCTCCCGACGTGAAAAGCGCTATATCAAATGCAAGGATTATTATTATTATTATCCTCTCCTCACTCAGAATGCATATCCACACTGTTTCCAGCAGGGGTCTCAGGAGAGGGAGAAAGAGCTGGAGCTCTGGTTGATTTTTTTCTCATCTTAATGAACCAGGAGTCTTGAACCCAATACTAGTGACCCTCTTGTGTGTCAGCCTGGCATAGTGGTAGCACACTTGCTGTGAGTCAGAGGGTTGTGGGTTCAAGCCCCACATTGGGACTTGAAATCACAATTAAGATGTCACTGCAATGCAGTGCTGGGGGGTGTTGCATTGTTGGAGGTACCTCCTTCAGATGAGACATTAAACCGAGGTCCCGTTGGTTTAAAGTCTCATACACAGGTTTAACGTATACCCAAAATACACATCTCACAATCTACTTACAGTTAATCCTGTGAAGCTCTTGGAGATGTCATGACAACTTAAACCGTGCTATATCAAATGTAAGGATTAATAATGGCAGCCCTGCCTGAGATCAGCTAACTCAGCATGGACTGGGCATCAAAGCTGGGATCTTTACTGGTTTGTATCCCACCAGGTGGCATATCCGCCCTACCAACAGAGGCTGAACTTTCTGTTTCTACGCCCCTAACCTCTGAAACTCACCCCCTCGACTCCCTGTCTCATCCCCTCTCTGTCTTTAAGTGCCAGCTTAAAAACTACTTTGGTCATGCCTTTGGTCACCTCTTCCATGGCTCTCGTCCCTGCCCTTATTCTACATAAAGAACACTATACAAATGTAATAATAATAATAATAATAATCGTTGTATTTGATATAACGCTTTTCACGTCTTCTCGACATCTCAAAGCGCTTCACAGAATATGCTGTAAAGTGAATTGACTGTATATTTGTGGGCGAAATGCGGCAGCGTCCCACAAACAGTCGTGGATTGAGTGACCAAACTATAATTATTTTGAAGGGATTATTATCCCCGGAAAGCGATCCGCCAATCGACTAACAAGTGAGTTCTTACTTACTACTAGATAAAAGATACTAGATGTAAGTTGTTGTGTTTACCTGCAGAGCCACAGGGAGAGTGGCCAAGGAGGAATTTTAATACATTGGATCTAAACTGCAGATCCGACTCGTTCACAGGGGACGTGAAGCTTGAAGTAAACTGGCATTCCTTAATAAATATTTTGTATTGTTATTATAAATATTTTGAGTTACGAATGGGGAAATTGCATTTCGCCCACAAAACACACAGTCACTCCATTTTACAATATATTCTTTGAGCGTTTTATAATAATAACAATCCTTGCATTTGATATAGCGCTTTTCACGTCGGGAGGACGTCCCAAAGCGCTTCACAGAACACACTGTAAAGTGAATTGACTGTATATTTGTGGGTGAACGCGGCAGCCAATTGTGCACAGCAATGTCCCACAAACAGTCGTAGATTGAAAATGACCAATTTATTATTGTTTTTGGTTTTGGAGGGATTATTATTTGAGATGTTTCCAAACGTGATAAGGCGCTGTATCAAATGCAAGGATTATTATTATTATTAACCTTCAGGTTACTGGAAGTGAATCAGCCAAATCACTTAGACTCGAGAGAATTCCACTCTGGAAACACATTGACTTGAACATATCCATCAATCAGGTTTCTGGACTTAGGGATGATTTTTAAGTTAACTTTTAGTTTATTTTTGTAATAATTTGACTGAGCCTTTCACAACTGCACTGAAAGTGATTCCTTTCTTGGCAGGCGAGTTATGTTGTGGATCCAAACCCAGACAAGTTGTCCGATCTGCAGGATCAAGTCGATGATGTCAGCGGCATCATGAGACAAAACATTGACAAAGTTTTGGAAAGAGGCGAGAAGCTGGATGACCTGATCGTCAAAACTGATGATCTCCAGGCAACGGTGAGGAGATGCTTTTCAACAGCTCATCTGTTTTAGTGAAGTCTTCAAAACTATCTGCCTGCCTAGTATGTGTGTGTGTGTGTGTGTGTGTTCATGGGTGTCCTGAGTGTGACCAAAGCCTCAGAGTGTTGGGGATGTTTTCTGGTTTCCCACTCCTTTTTATGAATACAATAATTTGGTTTTATGTGTGTTCTGTGAGTGCTGTACCAGCGCCATAGATGTGTGCACACAGTTAGTTAGTTGCATGTTTAAATATGTTTGTGTATATACTTGAATATAAATGCTGTCTAATGGTATTAGCTGGTGGAACATTTCAAGAACATCCATCTCAGTCTGCCCAGTGCATCAATCATAGTTTAGACACAGCACAGTTATACAGTCTCCCAGTTCAGGCACAGCGCACCCCTTATTGTACAATGTAACATTTCCATTAGATTGCTTGATTTGTGCTGAATGTTCAGCATCTTTTGCTGCGTAGACACCTTGGATTGAGATGGTCCAATTTGATAGCAAACAGAAAAAAGACTTTCATCTCAATACCCCTGGAATTGAGTGGAATTCAGTCAAGTCAACCAGGCAGGAATCTACAGGTTTTATCCAGTCTGTGCTGAATTGTCTGATATTGGTCAAAGTGTCACTTCAACTGGCCTCAGCACCTTTAGACTGGAGAAAAATGAGAGCAGCACTTTCCTACTGCAATCCAGTTCCTTTGCAGGACATGTACATGATACAGGGTGGCTCAGGATTGGGTCTGACTACCTCCTGCCATGGTCACAAGGCCAGCTGCTGCTGATACTCATAAGTTGTTATAAGAGCCTACAGAAGACAAATTTCAAAGTTAAGACTGAATTTGACAATTTGCCAAACTCTTGAATGCTCTAATACTACATAAATAAGAGTAATGTTAGCCCCAGGTGGAATTGCTCCTCACTAAATGGCTTAGTGCTGTACTAAGAAGTAGCTTTACCCACTGGGAAATCTTAGCCATTTCACCACAGAGATGGCCATTAATTTATAGTGCATGTGCTGGTGCAATCTTTCCCACTGGAACTATCCACTCTAGTCCCATTCCCCTGTTCCTTCCCCATAGCATTTCACATCTTCATTCTTCAACTGATTTTGTCTAACTCCCTGTTAAATGTTGTAATTGACGTGGCTTTCAGGTATGTTGGCGTAGCTGTAAACTATTTTGTAACCAAGGTCATTTGTTTTCAAAGAAAAAAAAATATTGCATTGCTTTCACCTAATTAGTTTTTAAAAATAATTATTGCCGTTGGGAAACTGCAATCCCATTGACATAGGATTTGCAGTTTCCTTTTTTAAAAAAAAAATGTTCTTTACAGCCAATTGTTTGGAAATTCCCTTTCTACCATTAGTAGTGTTTTAAACAATTACATTTCCCGCAGGAATGGTGGCTACAAAATTAGCAGAGCGTAGCATCTCAAGATTATCTTTATCCTGAATGTTTTTTCATCCTGTTTCAGCAATGTTACACTCCTGAGCTTGGCAGTGCCGCTCTAATTGGTTGCTCTAACCCTGTTCTGTGTGCAGTAACACTTGATTATGGAAATTAGATATCAATGTCATATCAGCTGTCGACTTGGCTCAGTTGCCAGCACTCTCTCCTCTGGGTCAGAAGGTTGTGAGTTCCAGCCTCACATTGGAGCTTGAGCTCCTGTGACTTCCTGCGACCCGACAGCCCTGGCTGCTGCATTTGTTCAGCAAACATGCTTCACATTCCCTGCCCGCTCCACCCAACCATCATTGGGCAAGCTTTCAGCCACTCTGCTCCAGTTCTCTGGAATTCCATTCCAGTATCCCTCCACCATTCTCCCTTCCCTCTGCACCTTCAAAATTGCCTTAAGACCAATTCTTCATCTGTTGTTGTTGGTGTTTCTGTCAAAGAGCGTGTCATTCACAGCCTGATTCTGCGATTAGCATGTGTATGACAGCAGCTGACACCACACTTCTCTTCTGTCTCCTGCCTGTAGGAAGTCCCAGCCTCCATTCAACGCCTGACTGTTGTGACCCAGGCCAAGAGTTTATTAGAGTGGCAGATTGAACTTGTTGTAAAATATACTTTTGCCTCAATCATTAAATCCGCAAGTTTCAGGCACACTGCGATTTGACTGTGGAGGTGTCCTAACAAAAATATCCCTTGATAACTTTAAATATCGAACCAAACCTCTCACTTCCCTCAGTCTTCGAAACCAGAACATTCAAAAAGGGATTGAATAAATGAAGAGAGAAAAAATGTAAATGTGTACAGGGAAAGAGCAGAGGACTAGGATTGGAGGAGTTAGCTTCAGTGACTAAGTTGGAACAAGCACAATGGTCTGAATGGCTTCCGTGTGTGTTGCAATTCGATGATTCTATGATTCCCTCACTATTCCCTTCCTCCTACCATCTGCAAACTTCTTAAGCCCAAGGTGGAAATCATCGAACAAATATTTCTTTATTTTGTCTAATCTCCTCTCCTCTTTGTTTCCAATCTTGGTTGGTGTCCTGCTCTGTGAGTATTTCCCCTTCATTCGAGTTTCTCATTAATTTTTTTTGGGGGGGTCTGACACATGTGGACATCCATCACCATACTTAAGGGGATCCAAACCAAACTGAGAATTCCATGGATCCCACCTCACATTCCAGAGGTAGATTGGTGGAATGGAATGCACACTCTCTCCCTGGAGGGATGCATCCTGCTTACCTAATTACAGAACGTATTTTCATTAAAACAACGGACGATGGAAGTAGCCTTGTTCCTTGAAGTCCTGATTCCAAACCACTGCCCTTACATAATATTATGTAACAATCATTTTTTTAAAAAAACTGATCGCTTTTCAGTGGGTGTAGTGGGCAAATAAACCAACTGAGCCATACAGAGCAGAGAGTCAGGGGTTCAAATATGCTGAGATACTGTAGTTACTTGGTTTGTCCCTTCTTTCAAAGCTCTCTGGATTCAAGAGTAATACAGGAAGATTGTCACCCAATAATCAAGAAGGGAGGAAGGGACAAATAGAAAGTAAATATGGTCCGGTGAGTTTAACATCAGTAGTGAGAAAATGACTAGAATCCATCACCAGGGACAGAGTAACTGAGCAGTTGGGTAAGTATGAACTGATCAGGGACAGCCAGTGTGGTTTTTAAAAGGTAGGTCGCTTCTAACTAACTTAATTGAGTTTATTGATAGGAACATTAGAGGAGGTTGTGTGACTCTCACTTACATGTATTTTTAGAAATATGTTCACCTAGTTTTACAACCACGTCAATGTACCTGAAGATAAGTCAATTACAACATTTAGCAGGAAACTAGATATAAAACTTATAGAATGAAGATAATAGAGGATCTGGAATAACAGCAAGGCAATGGGATTTGAGCAGCTAAAAGAAGGGGAGCTGACATCATAGTCATGATGAATTAAACAGCTTCTTTCTGTGCTGAACCTTCTGTCATTGCTCTCCTAATGGCCAGAGGGTAAAGCTTTCTTTACTCTGTCCTAATAAAGTAAATTCTTAGGCCACTCTCTACTGCACTAGGGTGAATCCTTCTACTCTCACATCAGTTGTCCTTATTCTAAACAACTTCAAATAGATATTCAAATCATTTTGCAATTCATATTAGTAACCAAATCTTAATGATTCCATGTGAGCACTTCCCATTATGTTACTGTGTTAACTGAGTATGATATTGACACTGGAATCTCCAGTCACAGATAACCTTGGTCCCAGTCAAAAACGTCAAACCATATCTTTATGAGTAAGAACTTACTTCAGCCTTCGGATAAGATATTAAATCAAGGTTTTGTCTGCGTATTCAGGCATCATCTACATAGCGGATGGGGATCATTGAACAATGAGGCAAGGAGGGGGACTTTCAGGATGTTGACTGAGCAAAGAGGAAATGCAAGTCCCGTGAGAGCGGGAGACAGAAAACATTCGAGAAACAAGCAGAGTGGGGAAATGGTGGACTGAGAGTGTGTGTAGAGAGAGTGAGTGATACAGTATGAGAAAGAAAGTGACGATGTCGGGAGAGAGGAGACTCATTCTCTGAAAAATGTTTCCTGTCAGTTTTGTTTACCTTGGCTGTTTCCTTTACAATGTGTAACATTGGCAGGATCTCCGTATTGGACACCAGACTGCAAAAAGAGCAATGCTATTTCTGTTGTACCTTTTATTGAGTAAGCTAGATGCCAGGCCAAGGCACATAGTACAGGGTAGAAAGTTAAACAGAACAGTAGATGAGATAAATTGTGAAGAAGTCCGAATCTTGAAAGCTTGCAGATTGCAGGAGGGAAGACAAAGCAAAGAGAGGAGATCCACAGTCCTGAGATCTTGGAGAAGAATGAGTTTACGGAGGAAACACTTTGTTTACTTTGATTTCTACAATAATACTACAAAGAGGAAGCCTAGCCTGGCTGCCATTCTGGAGCTTAGCAGGAACAAGGAAGGAGGGTTTCAGAGGGGTAATGTCTATGGGAGTATCATAAAACCATAGAAATTTATAGCACAGAATCTTTTCAAACCCATTTACCTGCCATTTCTGCGCACACCTGTAGTTGTCTCTTTTTAAGGTATCTTGTCTAGTTCCCTCTTGAAGGCCAATATAGTTTTTGCCTCAAACACCGCTCCCAGCCGAGAATGCCATATCTTGGCTACTCTGTGTGAAAAACTTTCAACTATCCTCCCCATTTTCTTGTTTACTACCTATATTAAATTGATGCCCTCTATTTTCTGACTCATTTCCAGTGAAATAATTTCTCCCCACTGACTCTATCTAAAGCCCTCATAATTTTAAAGGCCTCAATCAGATCACCATTCAACTTTTGTTCCAGCGGAAAAAGTCCCAGTTCCTCCATTCATTGGCCAAACCACTTATCCCTGTAAAATGTCCACTGCACCCCTTGATATCTTTTCTAAAGTGGTGTGACCAATACTGGACACAATATTCTAACTAACAATTTATATAAGTTTAGCTTTACCTGTTTGCTTTTATATTCTATACCCCTATTTATAAAACCTAAGATTCCATTTGCTTTTTGACAGCTTTGTCCACCTGCCTTCCCATCTTTAAGGATTTATGCAAATTAATTCCTGCCGAGTCCCTTTCCTCTTCCACTCCTTTTAATACTTTACCAAACAACATATGCTTATTCTTCCTCCCAAAATGTATAATTTTGCATTTGTCCGCATCAGTAAAATAGAGAATGAAATGAGGCTGCTACTTGCAAGAGGTTAGAGATGAAAGAGTCAGGGATCAGGCAGAGCTTTTGTGCAATGCAACAAAACATTTTTATTTTTAAAAATTGCTGGAAGGATATGTTAGAAGACAGCAATTGGGTCATTTGGGGTCTAAAATACAGATTGGGGTATGAGCACATGGGCTAATCATGTTCAAATATTCACAGGTGATTTTTAATATATAATGATTCAATACAGGTTATAGGATCACTTGTAATCATTTTTGTTGTGTTTGAATGTAGCTAGCCTGTGGGCTGTTAGCACAACCCAGTTTAGACTTCATGAAGATACCTGTTTTGAGGTACCATTTCCTTCAGTAGATTTGTCACTATTGTTTTATTTTCTCAACATTGTTTCAAGTTCTTTTAATTGCTTCCATTATAACTGGAGAAAATAGTTTCTCAGGAATTGTAACATGTGAATAAACTGAATGAACATGGGCACAGTGAGATGCTGCAGTTGTCCATTTGTAGGTCATTGTGGTAAGAAAGACCTTTGTGGGTCACTAACAAAGATTGTTTTGCACTCTCTGCCAAATGTCCTTTTCCAATCATTTCCTTTCCTCTTCCTGAACGCATTTTGACTCTTGTCGTTCTACTGGGGGTATAGTTGTATACTTGGGGTTTCATGTGTACCTCATTCAGAGACTGAAAGGCATCAGTCACACCTGACCCATCTTCACACACATGCAGAATGGGATCAATGGAGGCACAAGACCATTTTGTCTTAAAACTTTAATCCACGCAGAATTGTGGAAAATTCTTAAAATCCAGTCATAATTTGGAAGATCTTTTCTGTGGTTGTTAAAAAGAATTAGCTTCCAAATTAAGGCTGCATTAAACAATCTACTGATTGTGTGCAAGAACCCTTAAATGTTTAAGAAAAAAATACTTTTATGGTCTAGTAGGTGGAATTTGGAGGATTTTCCCTTACTTGGGAAATGGTCCAGAGCTGTGATGAAGGGTGGGGAGGGAGACAAAGACCAGGAGGGAGGCTTTCCATACCTCACTGCTCATACCATTGGGTGTTGCCTGCTCATGTGTTTCAGGGAGGTGGGTTTATGCTGTTGCCACTCACTCTGATCCCTATCCTATCTGTTTGCAGGCTGACTCATTTCAGAAAACATCCACCAAGATAGCAAGGAAGATGTGGTGGAAAAACACAAAAATGATGGTCATCATCCTAGTGATTACAGCTATAGTCATCACCCTCATCATTCTCTTTGCTACCGGGGTCATTCCAACCTAGGAGCACACCTACCCCCCAACTGCCCACCTGCTCTTCCCTCAACCTCCATTTTGTTTCAATGGACCAGCTTCTTACCTTTCTTGTACATAATGCAGCTTTTCTGCAATGTATTGATGCTATCCCTTAAAAAGCAAATTTTAATAGTTCAACAATAAAATATTTATATTTGAAATGCACTTTGTTGGAATTCTGCATTATTGATTCAATTTTGCAGGAAGACCAACTCAAATGTAAGGATTATTGTTATTAACTTGTGTTATATCTGACATTTTCATCTCTGCCCCTTCACCCAGACTGGGGATATCTGTTATTTATTGTACAGCTCAACATTCTCTCTCTTCAAGGTGTTAAGATCATGCTACGATATAGAGCTTTAGGGCAGTGGTGCCCCTTTCGGTTAGTCAATAAAATGATCATAGAAATAACATAGATTTAGGCATAAATCAAGAAACATTTGGACCCCACTGCTTTAGGGGCTGTTCAGCCTCCAACGGACAATCAATACTTGAGCACAAAAAATGAAACGAGAAAGGCCATTTCATCTGATCCTGCCTTCACCCACATTCACACCTCTAGCAGGATTGGAAACTGGCAGATTACCCCACTTCTGTTTCAGATTATTGAGATGGGGAGGACAAGTTTGCAGGGTTATGGAGCGAGCAGGGGAGTGGGATTGAGCCAGCAGACACGATGGGCTGAATGGCCTCCTTCTGTGCTGTATAGTTCTGATTCTTTAAAATGCAGTGCTCTAATTGCTGCCCCAGATGTTATCAGAGACTTCAGCACAGACATGGATTTGAACACAGTCACTAAGAGGGAATAACATAATTCAATTACATTTTCTCAGACTTCCCTGCAACACTTGGGTGTCCGCATTACATCACATAATTAAAAATAATAATTGTATTTGATAATAGTGCCTTTTGCATCAGGAGGGCATCCTAAAGTGCTTCACAGGATTTAGGTGAAGTGTGTATTCTGCAGGCTTGCATTTAACACAGCAGTCAATTTGCGCATAGCAATAGCCCACAAACAGAATGACCAATTTTATCTGCAGGATTGTTGGCCAGAACACCAAGGAAAATATACAGATAAACTATTTCCTCTGATGGGGAATCCAGAACAAGGGGGCAGTCTTAAAATTGGAGCTATGCCATTTAGGAGTGAAATTAGGAGACAGTTTTTCACCCAAAGGGTAGTGGGTACCTGGAACGCTCTTCCCCAAAAGACTGAATGGTGTGAACCAAGATTGTGGTGGATAGATTTGTTAGGTCAGGGTGTTAAGGGATAATTGGACTCAAGGTACAGATCAGCCATAATCTTATAGAGTGGCAGAAAATGTTCGAAGGGCCTACTCCTGTTTCTATGTTCTATGCTAGGGCTGTCAGTTAATGTTAATTCATCAGTTTCTTCAATCTTCCTTCAACCAACACTACCACAACTCTAAACATGCAGACTTGTAGAAAGCATTCTAATTACAAAACTGGCCTTTAGACTGAAGCAAGAAATTCAGATACACAGAAAAATAATAATAATCCGTGCATTTGATAAGAGCACCTTTTCACCTCTGAAACATCCCAAATCACTTTTGCAGTATACTGCAAAGTGAATCGACTATATATTTTGTAGGTAAAACACAGCAACCAATTGCGCACACCAGTGACCCACAAACAGTTGGGATTGAGTGACCAAATTATCTCTAAGACATTTTTGTGAAGGATGACCCCCGGAAAAGTGATCCACCAATAGACTAACAATCAAGTTCCTACTTACTGCTGGGTAAACAGGTGGGTAAAGTAAACTTACCCAACACTTCACTCTGCCCAGGAATCAAACCAAGGTTATCTCGCTTGTGAATGCTCTAACCACTAAGCTACAAGACTCCCATGACCAAACTGCATATTGCCATAATAAAATTTGATTATCACCCTAAAATCAAGCAATAGTGTGATTTATGAAATTTCCTTGGGAATAAGTGGAAAATGACAATAGATTTTAAATAAGTACAGCTATGGAGAAATGACCCAGGATTCAGATTTTTTTTGTATGGTCTTATTCCTGTGCTACATTGCAACACTAAACATATATAATTGTCAGTTAAGACTGGAGTTAGAATATATGGTCTAGTATTGTCCACTCCACTCAAACAAAGATGTCAAGGCAAGAGGGTGCAGACTTTCTGGAATACTGGGAATGAGTGATTCAGCCTTTGAACAGAGATCGGAAAAACTGGGATTTCTTTTTGCTGGAGCAAAGTTTGAGGGATGACAGGATAGAGGTGTTTAAAATCATGAGGAGTTTGAGAGTCAATAAGGAGAAATTATTTAATTGGTTGGTGAGTCAGTAACCAGAGGGCATCAATTTATGACAGTCGGTAAACGAGCAAGTGGGACAGTTAGTGGAATTTTTTCCAGAAAAATTATGGAATGCTCTGCTGGAAGCAGTATTTGAGGCAAAATCCAGACTAGTCTTCAAGAGGGAATACCTTAGAAAGAATCAGCTAAAAGAGGAAAGAGGGAAAAGGGCAGGTAAGTGGAACTGAAACGATTGCTCTTGAAGGAGCCAACAGACACAATGGGCTGATTTTCTATGCTCCTACACCCGATCAGTAATTTTAGACATATCACACCGAAGATCTATGTGCAGGTAACATTAGACAGAACAGCACATTGCATTGACATCTTTGCACACTGCATAACAGAAACTAGGTCAGTTTATATAGTAACTGAAATTGTCGATTATTGAAAACTACAGATGCAACATTGCAGGCACTGTCAACAAATTGCATTTTTGTCCTAAATTGGCTTCTCACATTTGAGGCAAGTTCTCAAACAACAATTAACACCAGTATTAGAAACACCCACGTACAACTGAATTGGTGCAGTGAGCCTTTTCTGCCATGTGAGCCCTGTAAATTGTCCACTAGTTTACCTTTTCTGCATTGCTTCCAATGATCTTTTGAACCCAGTTCAAACAAAGCCATTTGAAATAGGTTTCTTTTCAGACAAAGCTCAAGATTTTTGGTTGAGAACAATCCACTGTAAACTTTAGTGCCAGAATTGTTGAAGAATGGGATAGCACATGGCAGTGAAAGGATTACATAGGCAGCAATCCCTGGTACTCCATAACATTTTAAGACAGCTGCAAGCAATAAATTCAACCAAGATTCATTCAAGGTTACATAAAGTCAGTCAGACAGGTGAAAAAACAATTAATACGCTGGAACAGCTTAAAGACCCAAATGGATTGCAGCATACTTTGAGAAGATACCAATAATTTATTTGAAGACGAGCATTGGCTTTCCTGTGGATAAATGCACCATGTGTCTTGCAGTTACACAAACCAAGGTTTGATTCATTGTTAACAAGATGCAAAAGGGCTGCTGACTTCAAATATTAGGCTAAGCATGATCAAAATTAAGAATCAATTGGCAGAGTAAAAAGGACCATGAGCTTCAGTCGTGGGATCACCAGTGGAGGGGACGCAGCAAGAACACACAATGCCATTTTAATTATACAAAAGTTTTATTAAAAAACTTGAACAATCCAATAGGTACATGTACCATATCTAAATGTCATCACAATGAACTGAACATATATGCATCCAATGCAACAATTCATATGGGGGGAAATGTACAAAAAAAGAAAAGCAGTTGGTCACATAGAAAAACACATCTACTGGGGAATAAAATAATAAAAGCAATATTTCTTAAATCCGAACTGAACTTAATTTTTGGAGATGGGATTTGAGGCAGCAGTTCTTGGGAAAAAAATGATACAGAACATAAAAGTTGTAACAAATAAATGCTGCTTTTTAAGAGGCCTAAACACCACTTCCTATGAATCTTCTATCTGGAGTAAAATACTGTTCCTTCACCTAAAAGAAACCAAACAAGAGATTGGATGTTGGGAGTTACAGTCATTCAAAGGATTTAATATAAATTCAAATACACAACACTATATATGAAATACATATTTACATCAATACTCTTAAATACCCACCCATATATACCTAGAGTTTTAAATTGATAGTTAATTCAGACAAAATATTTACAATACTCTTATTTAGTTAAATGCTCAATAACAGTCCATAAGCCAAAATTCCAGAAGCTGCAAAATAGCACCCCAATTACTGCACCATCACAAACAATACATATTTAATAGTAGCCTAATTGTGTTGTGCCAATATAAAAACTATTTAATGAAGTTACATCTTCCTTGTGGAGGAAATGCAATAGCGTAGAAAAAGGTCCATTAACCCTGATCCCACCCCCTGGTATTCTCTGGATTTGGCTCATGGAGTATTTGCAATTACTACACAAGTCTATAAATGGGGAAAGCAAGCATTTAATAAATTTTAGAAATATATTAAGACACTGGAAATGTCCAAAGACAAGCTGTATCCATAGAAGAATGAATTATTCTGTAAGCAGTCGTATTTAACCATTACTGGGGCCTGTAAAAAATACATTAAATTAAATTAATATAATAAGCAAGAAATAAGTGAAGGCAAAGCTTGAAGTATCCATTTTATTTTTAATGCTGATACAGGATGTTGGAAGAGACCATACCAAACGGCAGCATTCGAGAGCGCGAGCGTCTCGTACTCTGTCCGCATTGAGCGGGCCTGTGAGAATCGTGTGGTCAGGGTGACACATGGCCTGCAATGAAGTTCCCGCTGGCGGGTACAAACAAGGTACAATGTCAGTTAGCAGACAATAGTTTTCTTTTTTGTCTTGATGTGTCCTTTATTTGTACCCATTAGCAGTACTTTACCTGTTAAATTTACAAATTTGTTAAAAGGGCAAAAGCCATAAAGCTTTTTACAGCGCCTGCGTTAAAACTTCAAAGTCACTATTTTTTTCTCTAAAAAAGCACTTAAGGGTGCTGTGAAATTTCAAGTATGTAAATTAATTATCAAAATATAGATACAAGTTTTACAAAGTTAAATATATTAAATTATAATTTAAATGAATAGCTAACATACCTGCTTCCAATGGGCTGCAGGGACAAATCTTAGTATGGTTTGTAGCTATTCTGGTGACTTCCACGACGTGGTGCTTTTCCATAACCACTCTGTTGATCTGTAACATTTTTTTTTAGCATTTACACAAGATGCTCAATCATCCATTTCACATGCACCAAAACTGAATTCACATTGTAGCTGGAAAAATTGTTTGGATGTGAAAAAAACCCAACATGTATCCAACTTCCACCCTACGCAGGTTTTAAGATCATTTGAAATTTGACTAACTGGGATTAACTTCCAAATATAAAAGAGCTGCAGCATGGGTTGTGAACCTCAACCTTGTCTTGATTTCAAGCCTGTTCATGTCTGCCTTTAATGGGTTATCTTTGCCAGTTCTCACACAGGCCACTAGGTGGGATCACTGTTCAGATATAGAACACTCCCTCCAAATATGGGGGTAAAGGCCACAGCAGGAACTAGCAGGGCGAGTTCCATCCCACAGGAGCACACATCCTTATCAGCGGATTATAACCGCCAACCCCAGATTGTCCCATCCTTCTGGCAGAAAAAAGCAACATGGCAGGGGAAAAGGCAGGGAGGATGCAGCAGAACAAGATCAAACATGCACTTAGTTCAGCTTTTGCAAGTCATTCCACATTTCTGAGTCTGCAGATTCAGCATTCAAATATGGAATGGCATTTTTAGTTTAAAGATTAGCACATGCATTCTGTATGAATATTTAGAGTACACTTACTGCCATAATCACCATATCCATAGTAGTTATTATAAGCTGGGTAATCATAGCCACCATAACCTCCATACCCCTGGCTGTTATAACCATAGTTATAGCTCCCATAGCCTTGATTCCAGTAGTTATTGTATCCTTGGTTCCAGTTCTGGCTTGGGGCTGAAATTTGTGCAAAAAGGAGTTAGAACCATACAAGAACAAACCCATTCGCAACCTAAATCAATCTAAATGCAAAATATACATACCTCCTGCACTGCCTCCAGCTCCTCCTCTTCCACGACCCCGGCCAGTGTAGCCACCTCTGCTTCCCCCCCACTGCTGCTGCTGATAGACCTCCTTTGACATTGCCACCTTGATCTCACACTGGCAAAAAAAAATATCTATTAGTCCAGTTTCACAACAGTTAATCAGAATAGAACTAAAAAGTTAAAGTAAAATCTACGATTGGAAGTCACCATTTATTACAAATGTCAATATGCCATAAACGGATATCCCAGTAAAGGCTCACACCATAGAGCTTCTCAATGATAAAACAGATTAAAAAGCATTCCAGCACAGGGTTGCACAATTATACCTTGGTTAAAAAGGGCTGGGTTGTAAACATTTTAACTGCATTAAATTTATTTTAAAAATCTAGTGTGCCCCCCCCCACATTAGGAGCAATGCACAAGGAAATGGAATGCATTTAAATGCTTGCTGCAAACATACTTCCTCTTAAGCAAAACTGAGGTCTTAATACAAGTGCTAAACTGGGACAACTTGCATATCTTATATCAGCACACCGACGTGAGCACTACACAGAAACCCACCCTAAAGCCAAAACCCCACTCAATCATCTTCAGATTATGGATTGAAATTAAAAACACACAAGCAATGATCAATATGGTACAACATACTTTGCTGAGTCCAACATTATGGAACTTCTTTTCCAGAATCTTTTTCACCGGCTCCTCCTCTTTGAAGGTTATGAAACAGAATCCTCGCCTTTTATTTGTCTTGTTATCCATAGGAAGTTCTATTGATTCAACCTAAAGGGGGCAATTTATAAAAGTGGTCTTATTTTCCACGCTTCAATGCCTACTTTCCCCAAAATTAGCTTTGTTCCATCACAAGAAACACACGAGGTAGCATTAATTGTCCACCTTTACACTGAAAGTCATCAAAGGATCAAAATAACTTTGTTAGAATTTCTAGTTCAATTACACAGGGTTAAATGTGTAAAGTTGACAAATGTCTGCTAAACTTTGATATACTGGCTTCTAGATCTTCATTTCATTAACCCTCTTGGGCACTGGACAGTCTCAATAAGTGAAAGTATTGGGCGAAGCCTTCAGATTAACCAGGATTGATGTTTTACAACCAGGAAGAATGCTGTACACGGCTACAAATGCAGTTTCAAATTAATACACCACTACAATACTGAGCAGCTACCGTCATTTAGAAGATTATAGCAAACAGGGCACTCAAAAATTGCTTCATTTACTCAATGCAGTGCCAAAAGAGACTGCTAGAAACAGCATTAACACAGTTTGATGTGATTAAGAAATTAACAGTTTAAGGCATGCATATTGTGTACATACTTCTCCAAAAGCTCCAAAGTATTCCCTGATCTTCTCCTCAGCCGTATCTGGTGAAAGGCCTCCCACAAATATCTTCTTTATTGGCTCCCTTTTCATTGCCTTTGCTCTTTTAGGATCAATTACCTTGCCATTTAACTTATGTTCCTTCATTTCCATTACCTGAATAAAATTAAGAAATTAAAAAAATTCAACATCACTTCAGTAAACTGGCACACAAATATGGTTTTATCAAACCATTCTTCTGAATCCAGCTTCGTACCCAAGGTTTTATGATCAAATACCTTATCAACACTTTCAGCCTCTTTAAACAGGACGAATCCAAATCCTCTTGAGCGCCCTGTAATGGGATCCAACTTTAATGTGCAATCTACTACCTCTCCATATTTAGAGAAATAGTCCTTCAGATCTTTCTTTGTGGTATCCCAGCTGAGGCCACCCACAAACATTTTTCTGCAGAAACAGTGAAGTATAAATCAATAGCCAAATCAAAAGTTAAATCGGCCTCATTCAGTAACCAGATCTTTCCCACCCCAAGCATTCAAGTATCAGGAATGCAAGCAAAAACAGTTTTATGGACAAGTGGAAGGCTATTCTTTATACATTGTGATTTAAATTTAACAGATGCAGCATCAAGAGTTTATTTAAAGCATTTAATTGGTTAGATTGTTCTTCTGATGTACAGCCTGTGAACCATTTTTTTTAAATATAAAAAGCCTTGCAGTGTTGTATGAAAAAAAGAGCACCGCAGAACACATTGCAGGAGCCAAGTAGAGTCCTGGATTTAAGTCCTGGATTTAATCACTAATATACACACCAACTGACAAGTTACATTGATATATCTAACTCTATTGCTGTGCCATTGTTGAATAGTGCTTTAATACAGCACCACCCATTAACACATCAAAACACCAAAAGTGAAATGATTGACTATTAATTCTGACTAATATTATCCCAAAACACATCCCCTGCCCCACACAGGAAAGACCAGCTTCAATCTAAAACATCACAATAAAATGGTTTATTTTAATGAAGTATCTAAAAATTATTGGAAGTAATTTAGTTTTACATTTAGCTTCAAAATGTAAATCACTTTAAACTACTAAAAGGGCAGAAAAAAGATGATTTAGATCAGGGCTGCTGCTTTCAAGTTGAAACATACCTCTGACCAGACTTTTGATCAAATTTTCCCTGCCACACAGGTCCCACCCAGCTTCGTAGAACGCTTTGAGGAATCTTTCTGACATCAAAGGCACTATATGTGTACATTTCATTGTAAATCAGTAATGTTATGCACCCGATGTATTTCGTTTAATTTAATGTTTAATTCAAATTTGGATACACACACCACCGACAAATCCACAGAGAACAAAAATCTGGCCAAAAGGACCTTAGAAACTGCATTTAGCCTAGACAGGAACAATAGTTGTGATTATGTAAACCATTTTATTGAAATTAGCTCAACTGTTCCATCAGAGGTTTGTGTTGGGGGGAAAAGACAAAACAAGGTCAAAACAGGAACATTCAGCTCCACCAGTTCTACACAAGCAACCCTGCATTTCCCAAGTATACTAAGCCAGAAAACTGGACTCAAAGTTGAAAATTCTACACATCACATAATACAATTTCCAAGGCCTCGGCCACTCAAAACAGCACCGAATCCAATTTCTCCATAACATTTTCATTGCATACACAATTCCCATCATTTCACAACCACAGGAAATGGGTGCTCTTAGTAATTTTTCAAATGAGTAGTCTCAGAATAAAGTAGCACAGGACGGTCATGGAGGCATGATCGAATCCCAATGACTACACTGTAGAAGGAGTCTCAGTCCACATACAGAGTATTAGTCCAATTTGAGCAGTCAATTTCATTTAAAGAGCACAAATACATGCCACGCAGCTTGCACCTTAAAAAAACTATGCACACATAAGGTACAATATTGAAAATTTCTATGCACTTCACAATCGGCGGGTGCACCCATTTTCTTTAAATATTTTGCAGAACTGATGCAATTATCTTCAGCAATGAAAAGAAGGGCAGGCAGCGTGCAGTAAAATTATTTTGAAAACCCACAATACAAGATGCCAGCATTATACACAACAGTACTGAAGTCGCTTCCTGCACCGAGCGAAACCACAAAAAGCTATGAGGGAATTAAAAAGACGAGGCGTTTAACAAGAATACAAAATTCAAAGGTATTCAACAAGGGATCGTTTTATGATGACCCGACCCCCAAAAACCCAATCGGACTCTCGCTTTTGACTTTGAGTTAAGTTTGCGAGAGACCTGAGACACCATTTCCCATAACCAGGCAGCCCCCGGGTAGCAGTGCACGGCTCACAGAGAAGGCACCGCCGAGAACAACGCTGTGCATATAATGGAAACACTAAACGCCATTTTACTGCCTTTCACACTTGCTGGTGGCAAAGGAGCAACTCGTTGCAAAAGAAAGCACTGCGCTAACGCGGGCAAAAAAAAAAAAAAAGGTTTTAACCCCCAAATGCACATAATCGCGGCATTTTACTTGAACACTGGGACGTGCAAAAATCCAATCGCAATAGTATTAACTCAAGACGGTAACATCTCTAACTCCATTCCCCCCCCCCCCCCTCCCCCGCTCTGCTCCCGCCACTGGCTTCACTGCGCCTCTCTGTCCACTTTCGCATCCGGCGCATCGCACACACAAATGAATACCGACCGCCTTTTGGCGGCATCTTTCAATGGCAACGAAAACCTTCTGACACACACACACACACACACAGACATACAAAAAAAATCCCGGGTTTCTTTTTTTTAAAAAAAAACTCAATCCTGAAAACCGAGCGCGCGGGGAAAACGCAGTGAACGCCTCTTATTCCCTCCACGAAGTTTGGACAATGCGACTGCCTCCACAACCTCCGCGAGGACCGGCAGCACTACCCCGAGGCTCCCCCGCGGCCCCCGACACCACGACAGGGCTGCGGTGAGCGAAAGCGCAGAGACGGCGCAAGTGCAGACAGGGCTCTCAAGGACATGGCAGCGCCCGCCATCCGGGTGCACCGCGACCCCCCGGGCCGGGCGGGGGGGTGGGGGGGCTTCAGGCCCGGCCGGGCTCGCAGTCACTCGTTAAACAGGTGGGTGTGTGGCCGCCCCCCTCCCTCCCGCCCCTCCCTCCCGCCCCCACTGCCCGCTCCCTCGCTCACCCCTCGTCCTCCTCCGTTTTACTGGCGTCGATCTTGGCTCCTTCCGTCTCTATCACCGAAACCGACGACTCTGCGCCCTCGGCGAGCTGCGCGGCCTCCGCCGCAGGGCCGCCGCCGCCTCCTCCTCCTCCTCCTCCTCCGCCGCCGCCGCCTCCTGCTGCAGCGCCACCATTCGCTCCCGACTCGCCGGTCCCGGCCTTCGCCGCCACCGCCGCGTCTTCACCTCCCGCTCCCGCAGCCGGGACCTGCTCCGGCTTCTGCCCGGCCCCCGCTTCCTCCATCCCGGAGGACTGCACCGCCTCCGACATATGCCTCGGGCCTCCGCCTCTGCCGCCGCCGCCGCCCAGGTAGGGGGTGGTGGTGGGGGTGAGAGGGGGTGAGGGGGGAAATCCACGCACCGACTCCCGAGGCAAGAAAAAAAAGATCACACGCACGGCAGACAGCGAACCGGAGCACGCAACGGCCTGGCCTCGGGCCCGCCGGCTCACTGAGGGCGATGAGAAGCTGCCGTGGCCGTTTCCTCCCCGAGTGACCGGTGTTCCCTTTGGCCTCTCTCTCTGTGTGTGTGTGTGTGTGTGTGTGTGTGGAGACAGACTCGCTGCGCTCTCACAGTCCAGTCGGTCGGGCAGCAGCACTGGCCCCGGGGCTGGAGCCGGCAGAGAGCGAGGCGCCGCACGGTCCTCTCTTTAAATAATGGACTCTACACAAAATGGCCGCCGCTCCTCTCCCCGCCCTGCCGATTGCCGGTCACGTGGCGCACGGCCTCCGGCCAATCGGAGGGAGGCGGCGGCGGGAGTGCGGGTGGGGGGGGGGGGGGGGGGGTTGGTGGAGGGAAACGAGGATGCGCTTTCCGCGCTTGCGCCGCCCGACGCCAACGAGAGGCGCGTTTGAACAAGAGGGGCGGTGGTTTGGGAGGGGGGGGGGGGCTTTGTGACGTCGCGCGCTATCCCAAGACGGGTTGGCGAGTCCTCCCACGCCACCGCCACCTCCAGGTCAATTGGCCACTTGTGGGATTTTGCTCCACACACACACTTACTGATCGATGCTTTCTCTGTACACGTTACGTTTTATGGTGAATCTCCTCTTCGAGGTGTGCTCGCAATGTTATGGTTTCTGCAATAAAAATCGAGGATTGTTTGCCCTTAATAATAGGTGCACAGTCGCAGGATCGTGACAGCAATTCTCTGCGTGAATGAAGCTCTTTGGGTGCGTTTTGCAAACGTTTGCATAGAAATCTGCAGCCAGAAACAGGTCTCTCAGCCAAACAAGTCTGCACCAGTGTTTATACTCCACATGAGCCCCCGCCCACCCTTTTGATATTATATAGCCTTGTAATCAAATGCAACAATTATTTATTCAATGTCCAGTATCATATTGCAACACAAATATACAGGTCAGGGTAAGAACCCAGATGTGGAGTCCTGTAGCTCAGTGGTTGTGGAGTCCTGTAGCTCAGTGGTTAGAGCACTCGCTTTGCAAGTGAGAGACCTGAGTTCAATTCCAGGCAGAGGGCGAAACCTTGGGCAAGTTTCCTTACTCCACACAGAGCCTAATAATAATCCCTCCAAAACCCAAAACAATAATAAATTGGTTATTTTCAATCTACGACTGTTTGTGGGACATTGCTGTGCGCAATTGGCTGCAGCGTTCGCCCACAAATATACAGTCAATTCACTTTACAGTGTGTTCTGTGAAGCGCTTTGGGACGTCCTCCCGACGTGAAAAGCGCTATATCAAATGCAAGGATTATTATTATTATTATGATGTCCACAACTTTTCATTTGGGAAGACGCAAGACACACGATTACAACTTTGCCTTTAAAGTCCGAAATTATACAATTTGATTAGGGTTTCTGATTTTTGTTTGTAACCCGCTCCGCCGCCCCCGGTAAATCTTTACGAAACAAAAAAGGAAATCCGTGTTTATCCAATAACGATAAGTTCCAAAAATCATGATAGGAACTGAATGCCTAAATATAATGTCTCTGGCTTGTATTATCGTCTGCCATTTGTAATTAACTGATGTTGTAAACTGTTGAAACAAAGATCATAAGCAACCTAATAGTTGTGTTCAAAATAATTCAGGGTTTGTATAAATTATAACAATGAATCTAAAAGGGTTAATAAATAATAGCTTAGGCACTTTTTAAAAACTGTTATTGTTACTCCTGAATGTTTTCCTTTATTGTTTGTTCTATTTATTAATAATAACTAGCTGTACCTGTTGCAGCTACACTTGTAATCAAAGGATCCAATATGGAATGTAGATTTCAGTATTATTATACTTTATATTAGATTATTATACTTTATTATACATTATATTATTATACCTTATATTCAATTATTATACTTTATATGATAGGAGATTCCCCCAAAATAAAAAAAGTCGACGATTTCTAAAAGGCTTTTTTAATTTAAAAAAAATTAAAACAATATAGAAAATGATGTTTTAAATTTTTAATTGTATCTTATAATATAAATATTATATAGCATGTGTATTATGTAGGCTACTTTGGGGCTAAAAATGTACTTGACTATTTTAATTTATGGCACAAAAAAATCCTCGATTCTGTCCATCTGCGACCAGGGCTCCCTCTGCCTCCTCATCCTCCTCGACCTCTCTGCTGCTTTCGACACCGTCAACCACTTTATCCTCATCCACCACCTCATCTCACCTCAACCTCCACAGCGCTGTCCTTGATTGGTTCAGATCATACCTTTCACACTGCCTGCACTTCATCTCCTCAAGTGGCTTCTCCTCTAGCCCCTGGACTGTCTTGTGCGGCGTTCCTTAGGGCTCTGTCCTTGATCTCCTCCTCTTCAACATCTGTATGCTCCCACTCGGTGACATCATTCGCAGACATGGGGTCAACCTCCACATGTATGCGGATGACACCCAACTCTACCTCTCTGCCTCCACCCTTGACTCCAGGAACACTGCTGTCCTGACAGAATGTCTGTCAGACATCAAGTCCTGGATGAGAGCTAACTTTCGATAGCTGACTGTCAGCAAGACCGAGGCTCTCCTGCTTGGCTCAAGTCAGTGCTTCTTCACCTCAGGCACCGACAGCGTCACCATCCCTGGTTGCATACTCCACCTTACTAAGCCAGTCCAGAACCTTGGCGTCTTGTTTGACCCTCAACTATCCTTTCTACCCCACATCAGCGCCATGACCCGCTCTGTCTTCCCCAACCTCCACAACGTCGCCGGCTCCGACACTGTCTCACATCGCAGGCCACCAAAACCCTCATACACACATTCATAACATCGAGGCTTGACTATGCAAACTCACTGCTTGTCGGCCTCTCCAACTCCTCCCCCCACAGGCTGCAGATCGTCCAGAACTCTGCAGCCCGTGTCCTCTCCCGCACCAGGCTCCGCGACCCCATCACCCCCATCCTTGCCCAGCTCCACTGGCTTCCCATCACACAGAGCATACAGTTAAAGATACTGGTCCTCACCTTCAAAGCCCTCCATGGTCTTGCTCCCCCCTACCTCTCTGACCTCCTAAGCCCCTCCCACCCTGTTCGCTCCCTCGGTTCAGATGGCTTCGGCCTGTTTCACGTTCCCCAACTCGCTGGCCCCACTAAAGGCAGGCGGTCCTTACACCACTCTGCCCCTACCCTCTGGAACTCCATTGCGCAGTCCTTCCACCTCTCCCCCTCCTTCGCCACCTTCAAGACCCATCTCAAGACCCTCCTTTTCGAGCGTGCTTTTGATCTCCCTGCTTTCCCCACTGCCCTCCCACCTCCTCCACCCCGACCCTCAGCTCGGGTCCATAACTGTCTGTCTGTCCAGCGCCTTGGGACGTCCTCCAAACGTGAAAGGCGCTTTACAAATGTAATTTTGTTGTTGTTGACTCGTGGTTAGGAGGACTCCTGTGAAATGAGCTTACTTAGGTCACATGTTGTGTAATTTTCTCTGTGGCTACTTTGTTGCAGAATATATTAGTATAGATGTATCTCTCTAGAAGGGTGTGTGATTTCCTCTGTTGCTACTTTGTTGCAGAAACCATGCATACCTTATCTTTTGGGGCTCAATTAAAGCATTTTTTTAAACATAGCTCATCAGGAGATAGGAGATCCCCGTAAAAAAATATGCCCATGACACTCCCCCAGGCAAGACCTTTCCAATGAGGTATAAATCATGTCTCTATGTCAATCAGTCATTGTGCTCTTGGCGGACAGACACACAGATATTTCATCTTTATTAGTATAGATAATAAACTTGTTAAAAAATACTTTGGTTGATTCTCCCTTCTCATTTTACAGTTCTTCAGAGAATCACACTGACTTTTTCCCCCTACTTGTACTTTTATTTATTCTTATTATTGTTCATCTGGTTTTGTCTAAATTGTTCAGGCCACCAAAACCCTCATCCATGCATTCATCACATCTACACCATCTCCCTGCTTGTCGGCCTTCCCAACTCTTCCCTCCACAAGCTGCAGATCATCCAGAACTCTGCAGCTCATGTCCTCTCCTGCGGCAGGCTCGTGACCCCATCACCCACACCCTTGCCCAGCTTCACTGGCTCCCCATCCCCCAGTGGATAGAGTTCAAAATCCTCATCCTCGCCTTCAAGACCCTCCACGGCCTTGTTCCTTCCTACCTCTGCGACCTGCTGACCCCACATCAACCTCAGCAAGCTCCGACCTGCTCCAAGTCGCTCGCTCGGCCCGCCCCACCATCGGCAGTCAGGCCTTCAGCCTTTTTGCTCCCACCCTTTGGAACTCCACCCAAATTCCCTTTGACTCTCTCCCTCTCTTGCCTCCTTCAAGGCGCGTCTCAAAACCCTCCTCTTTGACCGAGCCTTCGGCCATCCCCCTACCCGCCACCCTCCCCGATCCTGATCCCGACCCCTAGCTCGGATCCAAATCCCTGTCTATTCAGCGCCTTGGGACGTCCTCCTGACGTGAAAGGCGCTGTACAAATGTCATTTTGTATTGAATTGTATTAATTCTTGTTTTCTTTGTTGCAATTTTGTGAGAATTGCAGGACTACGTTTATTTGCCTCACGTTTCCTTAATTTGTTTGTATTAGTTTTAGGTATCAGCTTGGCTCAGTGTCACGCAGGTGGGTCAGAAAGTTGTAATTTCAAGTTGCACATCAGGAATTTGAGTTCATACTCAAGGCAACCTATTGCAGTACTGGGCAAGTGCTGCATTGATGGAAGTGCAGTCCTTTGGTTGAGAATTGAGGCTTCATTATCCTGTTTACATGAACTTTAAGTATCCTTTGACACTATTCTGAAAAGAATAGAGTTTCTTCTAGTGTCCAAGGCATTACTCATCCAGATAAATTGCTAATTTACTTCATAGTTGTTTGTGGGACCCTGCTGTGCACAAATTGGCTGCTGCATTTCAGCAGTCTGAGATGCCACCCCTTGTGAATAAAAGGCACCACCACATTGTAAGTTGTTGCTGTTGTTGCATTTGCCTACAGATTCCCAGCGACTGCAGAGAGGGTCAGAGGGAGGGCTCTGGCCTACATTAACCTGTAACTCAGAACTAATGGCAGACCAGACAGCTTGGCTTGTTGGTAAGAAGAGTAGACTGATCTCGGGGAACAGACCATTCTTCCCACTCGTTAACCCTGAAAGCAAAAGCCAAGTGATAGGGAACCTGTCAGACAGTGTTTATAATGGCAAGCTTCGTGTTTTAGCCGTAGCAGTACCCCAACACAGACTCTGGAGTTC